CACACTACAACAACACACACATACACACCACACACACAACATATATATAATATATATATATATATATATATATATATATATATATAGACACACACACACACACATATATATATATATATATACATATATCCAATAAATTTTGAAACTATTCTCTAGGCATACCTGGGCAGTGGCCACTATAACTAAAGCTATTACTAACAGCGACACTTCGATATTTTGCAATCTTTCTTTCCAGGAGCCATTGCTCTGCTGCTTATCAGTATCACCATCTATATTTCTACACAATTCTGTCAAATCTGGGGCAGATGAGTTCCACTGACTATGTTCAAATGCAGGCGAGACCCTTCTTTGCAGGAGTTGGCGTGCGGTTGTGCGTGTTTGCGTAGTTGACTGTGATTGTGTATGTGACCCTGTAAGAGTGTGTGTAGAATCATACAAGCTTGGTTGGGGAGGCGTGCTGAAGGCTACAAAGGAGTTGTCATATATCGAGGTACCACCTTTACCATTGGCACGGGCTGCGGCCGTCGACTGTCTCGACATGTTGGAATGAAGACTTCAATAGATATTCGCCTCTAAAGTAGGAATGGAACAATAAGAACTTGGTTCTGACTAGTTTTTGTATTCTGCAAGGTTGGCGTCAAGACAGCTCTATTCAACACACTAGGCATGACCCCATTTTCATCTAAATGATAAAGTAGGTCATGAAAAGCCTCTTTGTGTGTGTTAGAATTGTCCTCAATTCTGTGAAGTGAACACGAAAGTATTTTTTTGAGTGTACACTAAGAGAGTAGCACTGGCACCGATGAGGCACTGAGAGTCACAGACACCGAGTCTCAAGAGACTCGCAGTGACAGAGTCCAGAGGACAACAGACTGTCAGTCTGTCACAGTCAGACTCATCAGTCTCACAGCTCTGAGTGCGAAGTGCATACATAGCCGACACAATATTGTTTGTTTTTAGAAAATAACAAAAATTTATTACATATATTTATGAGTCATGAGTCATGACCCACTCCGAGTCTCCATATTTAACTTCTGAAAATTACCTCAGTCACTCCCACTCTCCCAGTCTCTTATATTTATATTTATTTAGACTCACCAGACTCAGAGTCAGAGCCAGTCCACTCTGAACCTACGTTCATTTTGGCGCCATAATTTTAGTTGGTATCATCACAGTTTGTGTACTATTTTTAAATGAATGCTAGTAGTACTCCGCATCATGAATATTGTTCGCTGTGTACATAGTAAAGGGTTCATCTGAAGGGTTGTGTGTGATTTTGCTGTGTCGTAAATGTTTGAGGGGATCATGGCGATTCTGCACCCGACGCTGGGTACAAGAAAAAGCCAGGGATACACCCGTCGGTGGCGCACTTTCGTGTCAAACCCCTTCCTGGTCATCTACAAGGCCGATTTCTGCTCGAACGCCGCTTGTCCAATCTGCCACAGCGATACGGTTGGTCTTCAAGTAGCAACTGAGCCTGAAGGAGCGTTCAGGCACCTAAAATAACCTGTGCCCATCGCTGAAAAGCAGTGGTACATATGGGAAGTTCGCGCGTGTATGAACCTGCTGCGCAAACTGATGATGCTGGCGTTCAGACAAACACACGACATCATTCTACAGCCATACGTACGCTCTAGAGTTGGAAGTAGACGTAATTCAACTGCATTTTAAAGAATTCTATGATATAAAATTTGCCGATCTCAAAAGATAGGCACATGAAACATTAGAGTTCAGCGCAAGAGAGCAATGCGTACGTGAATGCTAAGTTTGATATTGTCTGTTTACTAATTCGTAGGATACTGTATACCAATTTGTTCGACACTCACTTGCAGCTCACAAAGTCACCAATGTATACCACCGAAAGCACAGGGATGTTTAGTACCAAAACTTGGTTAGATTCTGCACTCTTTATTTTATTCATTTGACCTTTGGTTAAAATACACTCAACCACGACCCAACATGTGCCGCGAAAGAAATCATTGAGCAGAAATGGCCTGGATGATTGCTTCTGGCGCTGTTTCGGGTCTGCAGTGTATATTATTTTGGTTTCGGAAAAAATGCGTTGAGTACATAGTAAGAAATATCAAGTTCACTTCACAGCGACTCGTAAGCAAGCACTAGCTCGCCGCCATTATATTGCGTGAGCTTCAAGAGGGAGTGCATGGAAACCTCTTCTAACCCTTCAGTCACACACTACGCACCAGTATCAAACGAATTGCATATTAATGAATTGAATTCAGGCTGACCTGAAAAGTTTGTACAAAAGGAGCAGCAATTGACCCTTACAGGACGTAGCGGAATGTATTGCTCAGTCATTCAAATACATACATGGACACACTTGTCAGCCTACCAATACACCTGCACAGCTCACTACCAACATACCTCAGATGTCTCAGCAACTCATTTCTGGCGTCGGCAGACGATCGAGTGGCCACCTGCACAATCACATCCCACACAGCCTTGTCTTCAGCTCCCAAGCCAACCCCGTCTACAAGCATACCGGGATATTGCAGCAACTGTTGACTGACCTCGTCAGCAACGGCATTGAGCGCATTGACCTCCTTGCCGGTATAAGGTTTCTCGGATTGCGAGCCCTCTCCAGGCTTCTCGTTGACTTTTTCGAGCAGGAGTTTAAGGATAGCCGCGCCAAGCTGTGTATATTGTCAGGATGTACTGAGTAAGATGGCTTGTTAAGACCCTGGCAAAACAGAGTAAGTGATGATCTAGCCACTCCTCCATTTAGCAAAATAACGCCTGGGACTAAGTACATGTCAATGGATTGAAATGAGAACCGCACATCATGGGTTAAATATAGAATCGTTTATACGAATGGACACCTCAGTACATCTGATGCGTTTGAATGGTACTGTATCTAAGATGGGTATGAAAATACCAACTAAAACATCGATATGAACGCCCTCGTCAGCCTCAAACTATACAACCGAAGAAAGCAAGTTCCGGGCAATATAGAATGAAAATCCAGCAGACCTACAACATGACATATTTAGAATCAAAGATTGGCGTAGTTGCGCAGTTGCAGTACACTCGATCGTTACCGTCGACGCTCAGTATCACAGCGGTTCAAACCAACATATCATTACAAACGCTTTTGGTGACCCTAAAGAAATCATGCGCAATGGACTCCCGTTTTTACTATTTACACATACCGTGGATTTGGCCAAAGCAGTGATATCATCGTTGGAATTCACACTCAACATCTTAAGGATCGTGATAATAGATACGGCCGGTGCCGCACTGATAACAATGGCCACAGACTCGATGAAGTCTGTGTGTAAACCCTCAAAGGCCTGCGTACAGACAATTCAAGTAGCAAATGGATACGTCAATCTTCGAGAGCTACTAATAGAGATAATTTAATGTGTTGCAGCAAACCAAAAATTGTCTTCTCAGAGGACACTTGAATCGTGTTTGGTATATCATTCGTGACTCAAGCTGTGTTGAGTGTATGATGTTAGTGCGTCCATCAGACTACCTATGCTGCTAAATCCCTCCCAGTGGATACATGAATGTACATTCAAACAACATCTACGACATTTACTCGATGTACTACTTTCAACATCTCATCAGAAACCTTCGATTTAATATAAACATACCGGCTTGCCATTAGTTGTCTGGCTCAACGTCAGGGTATTTCTTAAAATCGCAGCAATGGTGCGTTCCGATTGGTTCTGTAAATGAGAAAAGTCACCATCGTGTCAGCACAAGTCAGTATGATTGTACATACAAACACTACCATGCGAAGGTATACAAGGGCGGTGCAAAATCAGCCCACAAAAAGATCGCGCTCTGCGCTAACCTCAAATTTAAGTGTGTGAAACTCTTGGGGCCCAATTTCAGAGTATATAACTCTTGAGTCTAGACCCAAACTCCGTGATTGAACTCTGTAATGAAAATTCAGAGCATAGTACTCATGGCTTGAAAAATTCAGAGTATAGTACTCATGGCTTGAGCTCGGTGATGAAGTTTCTGGCCCAAATTCAATGTATAGAACTCCCTGCCCCAATTCAGTTTATAGAAATCCTACCCCCATGTAAGTGTATAGAATTTCTTGCCCGTAGCAAACATCTTATCCTACGTCTCGCTTCTAATCTATACTGCATGACACATCGAACTTGTACAGAACATACGGTGTCGAAGAAAACTATGGCACGGGCAAGCAGCCGCTGAGCCTTCGCAATGTGGATGATCCGCAGGAAGTACTCGTCGTCAAACTGGGCACTCCTGTCGCGCTGCATAACGAGCGGCGACAGCGCAAAAGTCTCAAACACCTGGTCCACGAATTCTGCAGAGGGTCGTGGGTCAAGATAACAGTGGTGCGATATGAGAATGGAAACAAACACGAGAGTTGCGGAGTGTTAAGAAAAGCATAGAATATGAGATATGGAAGCTTACAGGGGCAATAGGATGTGCGAATCAGTGTGAGGTATGCGATACTACAGTCAACATGAGAAACTGAATACAAGATTAAATCCGAGAACCGAGAACGAATATAAGATACGGAAGTGGACCGCGCCCGGCGCCCGTAGCAAAGATGTGATTGCAACAAAGCGAGGCTTGCAATGACCGTAGTGCCAGATGCATGTGCGAACATTCAGCCAATCCCCAAACATCCATAATAATAATATACTCCCAGCTTAGATGCATCAACTGAGTCTCGGTTACAAACGTACAATATAGTAGTCACAGATAGCCACATACAAAGATGCAGAAATCTATATACTGTGGATATCGATCTGCCATAGCACAACATATTTGCCCAGCAATGCACGGAGTTGACATATATATTTACGTTTCCTCTTCTGCACGATGGCCTTCTTGGCGCTTTCGGGTACGCCATTCATCTCAATATCGCAGTCCTCCATTCTAAGCATGGCCACATAGCCACTCTCCACTGCCTTCAGGAACTTCCTTCGTGAGAACTGGGGTCCTCCAGCCTCCTCTCTCCTGACCACACTCTGTAAGGTGACAAGGATGTCGAGGCAAACAGTAGTTGAGTTTATACCTCTCTTTAAATATGGGTAAGCAATAGTATCACACCACAGCCCACAGCCTGTGCATATGAAGAATTTTAAATTAAGTGTTGAACATGTCTAATCTGTGCTTAGATGGAGAATTTTGAACTCAATGTTGTTGAAAATTGTGTCGCTTCATATTCATAGGAAACTCATAGCACCCCAGTTGAAAAGTACATAGAAAATTCAATATACCCCACAGCTGTGTGCATTCGTGTCCGAGATTGCACACGTTGTTTCTTTAGGTGTGCTTTCTTGCTACTTTGGTGTCCGCCGAGTAAATCTCAGCGATCACACATAGAACTCTGCTTAGACGTGGAGATATACAATGCCATGGACATATACTGTGGCTTTGTATCTTTTTTACCGAAGTAAATAATGCAGTGCTTGCTTGTTACAAAATCACAGACATCCGCAAACATTTGCGATGCAAACGCAACTAACAAATTATCATCTTCCAAACGGTTCTGCATGCTTTAGCTTGATGACTAATCAACAACGAATCAGCAGATGATTGTCGCTCGGGCAGACATACCTGTCTGGAGAGGAAACATACTTTGACCGTAGTCGCTATTATGAGGACAGAGAATGTTGACATGCTTTGGGCATTGTCTTTTTGACACTTTCAACACGCATCAATGGCGAAACACCCTGAATTAAAACTAATTCTAGTAGTAAATAATTCATACCTCAATCATCGGTCTCGGAGCATGGATGGAGAGAGCCGGGATCTTGCCGAGCGTGTTCTCAAAAGCGACAGGTGTGTATTTTGTACTTTTGTTAGCGTGTTTGGCCATGTAGAGCTTGAGCTTCTTGCCATGATCCGCATCCGCAGACTTCTTCAGTGTATAGGCCTGAAAAAATATGAAATGTTGCGAGGTCAAGCGTTGAGTAGGTGCTAAGTTATACTTTGCGATAGTGTTCGTTCTGCCTACATGCTCTGCGACTAAAACACCCCTCAGAGACTGTCTGTACTTCAACATCAACGTCTAGGTACACACACCTGAAAGTAAAAGTCATCGATGTGGGGATTGTTGCTCTGTATCTGCGCAAGTTGTACACGGGTTATGAAATCTTTCTCTGAGCGTGTCATTAGATTGGCATAAGGATCGTACTGCGACTGTTTGGGCGGCATGTCCATCCCCGGGGGCATATACGGACCTGTAGATTGTACATTGAGAATGTTGCGATGGTATTCAGAACGAGTAGAGCTCCTGTTTTCACTACTAAACACGCACCCATAATGAGCTACATTCTTCTTCTGTAGATATTCCAATGCATCGTGCAATCGCATCCATCATGAGCGGGAGCTTTTGTGTCCACCACTAAATACATACCCTGTTCGGTACTACATGCTACTGACCTTCGATTGGTATATTAAGGAACTAAAGCGTTTGCAAAGGAAACATTTTGCCATATAATTCTAGACAATCGTCTGTAATACCGTCAAACCCGGTTTTTAACTTTGCCGATTTGTTGAGTGCAATGCCTCAAGCGATATACCTGGCAAAGCCTCCAGCTCGCACACAACACGTGCAAACACGCGGATAGCTTTGTCTATCATTCTTGAGTATGCATCTGAATCTCTATGCCACGGGTGCAACATCTCACTTGACACAAATATGATAGTCTTAGCTATGCGCATCAAGGCACAGCAGAGGCGCGCACCTGGGAAAGCCTGAACGTAAAACCTGCACAGTGCATGCGCATAAAACTCACCTTCGCCATTCCGCGGTGGTGCGTACATTTCCCTTTGATCCTGCGATTGCTGCTTATTCGATAGAAGTATTGTTAAAACGTGGTACGGTATGAGAAATCAATTAATATCCGGACAGAAACACTCTCCTGCCAGAATAATGCGGATATAAATTCATACACGAAAATACAATCTCAGACCCTTGAACATTCGCCAATAAGCCGCGCACAATACGGAAACAGTGACTATAAGCCGACGAGGGAGCACGCCATCACGCCCACACCAACATCGACATACGCGGTATTGGCCTTGCTGCTGTTGTTGGTGCTGCTGCTGGTACGGGTGTTGCTGTTGTTGGTACTGTTGCTGTTGTTGCTGCGGTTGTTGTTGGTGTGATTGGTATGATTGCTGTGGCTGTGACTGGTACGGTAGCTGGTATTGTTGTGGCTGTTGGTGTTGGTGTTGGTTTGGTTGTTGTTGATGACTGGGCGACCCCGGATACTGTGGATTGCCAATGTAGGTTGAGCCATTGGGTGGTCGGTTGGCTGGATGGACAAACCGATTTCATTGAGCTGGCCATGAGTGACTTTACTTATGATCAATTTATTTCAATCAGAAATGACATCACATAACTGATTGCGAACAGAGACCGCACAAGCTGACATTTTCGCTATACTCCCATGATCCTGTGGTAGCAGCGTGAGAATCCCATGTGCGTAGCAGAGGTACAAGTCAGCAACATGGACTAAATGCTTTTTTCCGGGCAAGTGGATCGAATACGCCCTATCTATCAATATATATATAAACAAACATGTATATATACACATATATATATATAATATAATATAATATAATTTATATATATATACATACATACAATATATATATATATACATACATATATATATACATACATACATACATTATA